GCTCTCCAGACCCCGCCCCCTGCTCCAGACCTGCTCCAGACTCCGCCCCCTGCTTCAGACCTGCCCCAGACCCCGCCCACTGCTCCAGACCTGCTCCAGACCTGCTCCAGACCCCGCCCACTGCTCCAGACCCCACCCACTGCTCCAGACCTGCTCCAGACCCCGCCCACATCTCTAGACCTGCCCACTACCCAGACCGAGGCTTTCAGCTACACCCGGGACACGTCTGCAGGGCTCCTAGGAGCAAGGAGGATTTCTGGGAGGGCAGTGTGTGCATGGACCCCCACGGCCCAGAACCCCACACCCACAGCCCAGAACCCCACACCCACGGCCCTGAGTCCCCCAGAGCCCCAAGGCCCAAAGTCCCACAGCCCCGAACCCCACACCATCAGCCCAGACCCCACAGCCCTCTGGATGAAGAGCTGGGATCTGCTCTTCATCCGGAGCTAGTCTCCGGAGCAAACGGGCAGCAGTGGGCTCCCCCTCGTTTGACCTCACTATTGTTTGTGTGTGTGTCGATGTTTTTGTATTTCAGTTGAGTAGTTGGCCTGCACCTGGTTTGATAGCTTTGTGTTGTTTTTTGCATCCGGATTTCTTTTGGCAGGGCTGGAGGCCCATGTGGACAAACCTCACCGTACAGTATGGAGTTTGTTTTTAGTTCACATGTTGCCTTAGGAGTTGCCTGCATATAAGTGCTTGTTTTATGTGACATCTAGCAGAAAGGAAGAGTCCAAATATTTTTAATGTACCGAACATGAGTGAAACCCCCTGAAGAGGAAGGTGAGCGGGTGTTGTGAGCTGGTGGTGGAGATGTTTCCCTCCCTCTACATCGAGGAATCCCACATGAACTGTTCCTCTTGCTGTCTGATTTCCTTCAATCTTTTTGCACATTAACTTAGTTTAGTCTGGTCTTGTAGATAATGTTATTTCTATTTAAGCTATTCCGTTTTAAAAACAAAAGACTTGATGAGTCTTACTTTTAAAGCTCACCGGCCCCCTTTCGGTTTAGCACACACCACTGTTAGTACCTGCAGTAATGGAACTGGAGGTGGAAGTGAACAAGGCATTAGAAAATAAACTCCATGGTGAAAAGCGACTGTGTCACATGCATGTTCTTTGGTTGCTGCAAAGGAACGGTGACGCTGTGATGATGGCATGAGGAAAGCATTCAGAGCTAAAGAGCTATCTGTGCACACCGTCAGCTAAAGCTGCCCCGGCCTAAGCTGGGTCCCCCGTCCTCTGGGTGTGAGCTCCAGGGCTGGATGCCTCACATCTGATGTTGTGTTGTGTTTGGAGGCTGACCTACAACCTAACAGTAAGAGGTGTTAAAACCGACCGTTTCCTACCGCATGAGGCCGAACTGCACACAGGTACCAGCCAGACTAAGCAGCAAAACAAGAAAATACTTGAAAGAAGAAGAAGAAAGGGCGGCCTTCTCCGCCCGCTCACAGGTATGTGCACAAAATACAACACTAAGGAATGTTTAGATTATGTCCCTGGGTGTGAGGGTCCTTGAGGATTTCCTCCTTAAGCAGTGACCCAGGTCAGTGTCCACACAGTGTCCACACTGACCTGGGTCCAAAACAAACAGCTGGACTTCAGACTAAAGTAACAGGGTTTCTAAGTTCTGAACGGGATTCACTGCACACCCCACTGAGGTTTATGGCTTTCAGATTGTTTGCTTCTACTGATTAAAGCTAACCTGAACAAAAAAGAAGTCCATTTAAAGAGAAACATTGACTGGATGCCATATCCCCATTAGACCTCAGCAGAAGGAAAAGTGAGCATTTAGGGACTTTAAGACCATAATGATCCAAAGTACAGCAACCTTTAAGGATGTTTTCTTTTATAACAGTGTATATGGCTTACATGTCTACCTCTAAATACACAGTTGACCTCCTCCATGCTTTTCATGCGCGGCCTGTTTCAGAGCGCCAGACCCTCTGCTGCTGCTGTGCCTCTGTTTCTCCAGCAGGGGGTGCTGAGGATCCAAACCAGCTCCAGACCTGAGCCACGCACTCCTCAGCACAGACAAAGGACAATATATGTAGAATGTATCATGGCCCGGATCAAAATGGATCCTTATGTCAGATCACAAGGCCTGACCTGACCTACTTACCGGGTAACGGTTTGAATAGTGCTGCTCCTCAGCAGCGTTGATTTAACCAATCAGCCGCATTACACCACTTTGCAGGCCTTTTCTTTTATTGGGTGAGAGCGTTAACAAACTAACCTCAGTGTGTTTGGTTTGAGGGAGCCGAGCACTGGTTTAACATTTGGATTCCCTGAGCGTTGTGCTGACAAAGGCTTTTACTGTCCGTTTGAAGTTGACTGCTAAATGGGGAACAATGACTCATTTCATGGTGGAGAAATGAAGTCATCTTCCTTCTCCTGTGGAGCTGCTGTGTGTGTGTGTGTTTGTCTGTGTGTGCTCCTGCTCGCCCTCGCTGAACTGCTGATAATAAGGAAGCGATGTGAGGCCGCCACTTTTGTCCTGCACTCTTTTGTTCTCAGAACAGAAAACGCTTGGCCCTCTGTATATCCAGAGGAAGTCCAGGTCTTTTCGTGTGAGCAGCCGAGGAAGCAGGCCTCCTGCTCACACAGTTTGGGATTTTCTTGGTTGTGTTTGGGATTCATCTGAGCATTTTTGTCATTTTGTAACCCTGAATCACTCTTTTTCCGTTAGCGAGGAGATGAGTTGGTGATTGGGATGAGTGTGGTGTCCAACACCTTCTTGACATTGGTACCAAACCACTTCTAGGAAAAGCTAACAACAGATGACTTGCTCCTGAACGCATGGAAAACCCAACCAGAAAGAAAAAGTCCTACTGTGGAGCGTGTGTCAGGTCCAGGCTGTCTCCACGTTCTCTGCGCTCCCTTTAGCGCGTTAGAAAAACATGAGCTCAGAGGGGTGATGTAATGATTAATCCTGACTTGGCTTTGTTCAAGTGCATTAATGAATGTAAAGCAGTGTTGTTATTCTGCTCAGTCTGGAAGGGAAAGTTCATGCTGCACACCAAAGCTGTGTGTGCTTTAGATTTTATCTGTAACATGGTCGCCATGGAAACTGGATGACATAAATAGGCTAGAAGTGGCAGGGAGATGTTGCAAGATTTAATAATGGACAGAATTTGGGTCATAATTTCTTGAACGTTAGATCTATAAATTGCATGGTGTGCCACTTAGGATTCTATTAATCTGCACGAGTCCCTTGTGGGTCTTTAAAGTGTCTCCAGGCGATGGTTTAGGAACTCAGCAAGGTCCCCTCACAGTCAGGGAAGTTAAAAAGAGGAAAGAGCCTCACCGTCTCACATCCGATTCTTTGTTTATGGTGTCTTATATAAGCTGTGGTTGCAGTTTAACTACAGAAACAGTGTGGGGATGCTGATTACTAATTGGGGAACTGACTTACTACACAGAGCAGCTTTCAGCTCTGTCATTCCCCATTCATATTTTCACCACACGCCTGTTTGGAGGGGCTCTAATGAG